ACTCATATATGTATTTAATTTGAGTATGTAAACTTTTTTTGAATCTAAAAGTTTTTCAGGAAGTTGAGAGATAAATATATATTTTCTATGCCAACAAGAAAAGCAACTTACTCCCATTTCAGTTTTAAAATTTCTACAGGATCCTGTTCCTTTTTTCACAATTTAAAAATACGTATAATGAAAGAAAAGACATTACAACGGATACCACAAAAATAAAAAGGATCACAAGAGACTACTATGAACAATTATATACCAACAAGTTAGATAGCCTAGAAAAAAGATAAACTCCTAAAAACATACAACCTATCAAGACTGAATCACGAAGAAATAGGATATCTGGATAGACCAATAAGAAGTAAGAAGATTAAGTCAATAATTAAAAACCTCTCAGCAAAGAAAAGTAAGGAATAGATGGCTACATGGGTCAATTCTACCAAACATTAAAGAATTGACCTTGATCCTTTTCAAACTCTTTCAAAATATTAAAGTGAAAACCACTCCAAATTCATTTTACGAGGCCAGCACTTCCCTCATACCATAGTCAAAGATACTACAAGAAAAAACAAACTACAGGACATTATGTCTAATGAATATAGATGCAAAAACCAACAATAAAATACTAGCAAATCAAGCTCAACAGCACATTAGAAGGATCGTATACCATCATCAAGTCGTGATATGCAAGGATGGTTCGACATGTGCAAATCACTAAATGTGACATATCGCATTAATGGAATGAAAGATAAAAATCATATGATCTCAATAGATGCAAAAAAAGCATATGAAAAAATACAACATTCTTTCATAATAAAAACTCAACAAAATGGGTATAGAAGAAATTTGTCTCAACATAACAAAGGCCATATGTGAAAAGCTCACAGCTAACACATGCAATGGTGAAAGGTTGAAAGCTTTTCCTCTAAAAGAAGCCTAAGGGTCACATGACTCCTATTCAAAATAGTGGCAGAAATCCTACCCAGAGCATGAGGCAAGAAAAAGAAAAAAGCATCCAAAATAGAAAGGCAAATAAAATTGTCTTCATTGGCAGATATGGTCTTATTTATAGAAAATCCTAAAAATTCTATCAAAAAAAGTTAGAATTATAAACAAATGTCATAAAGTTGCAGGATAAAAAATTCAACATACAGAAATTAGTTGTGATATTACACATTAACAACAAACTATGTGAAAAAATGAAACAATTTCATTTACAATAGCATAAAAAATGAGACTACTGTAAGCATGAAGATAAAAAATTTGTATACTGAAAACTATAAGAGTTTGATGAAATAAACTGTAGAAGACATTAATAAATATAAACATATTTTCTATTCATGGATTGGAAGGATTAACATTGTTAAAATGTCTATACTACCAAAGCCAACTATATATTCAATGTAATCCCTATCAAAATTCCAATGACATTTTTCACAGAAAAATCCCTAAAATTCACATAGAACTATGAAAGACCCCAAATACCCAAAGCAATATCAAGAAAGAAGAATAAAACTGGAGGCATCATTCTTTCAGATTTCAAACTATACTAGAAGGGAAATACAGCATTAAAACCATATAATCATTTCAAAAGATGCAGAAAAGGCATTTGACAAAATTCAACATCTTTTTATGATAAAAAGGATATCTCAACAGAATAAAGGCTATATATGACAATCTCACAGCTAATATACTCAACAATGAAAAATGGAAAGGAACAAGACAAGGATGCCTACTATCACTACTTCTATTTAACATAATATTGCAAGTCCTAGTTATAACAATCAGACAAGAAAAATACATAAAAGTCACCTGAATTGAAAGGAAGAAGTAAAAATCTCATTATCTGCAGATGACATGACACTACACATAGAAAACCCTAAAGATTCTACCAAAAAACTATTAGAATGAACAAATTTAGTAAAGTTGCAGGATACACAATCAATATATAGAAATCTGCTGCATTTAAATACACCGACAGCAACAATCAGAAAGAGAAATAAAAAAAAAAAATCCCTTTACAATTCCATCGAAAAGCATTAAATACCTAGAAATAAATATAAACAAAGAAGTGAAAGACCTATGCTGAAAACTATAAAACACTGAAGAAAATGGAGAAGATACAAATAAATGGAAGGATATACCTTGCTCATGGATTGAAAAAATTAATATTGCCAATACCAGTCTGCGGCCCAGGGTTGGAAACCCCTAGTGAAAAGTATCATGCTCCCTGATATCTAGTTACTACATAGCTATAGTAATCAAAACAGTGTGGTACTAGCATAAAAATAGACACTTAGATCAATGTAACAGAATCAAGAGCCCAGTAATAAACCATTGCATATATAGTCAACTGCATTTGACAAAGGAACCAAGGGGAGAAGAATAGTCTCTTCAGTAAATGGTGCTGGGAAAACTGGATAATTATATGCAGAAGAAAGAAATTGAATCCCTATCTTATGCCGCTTATAAAAATTAATTGGAAATGGATTAACAAGAGACCTGATACTGTAAAAGTCCTAGAAGAAAACATAGGATAAAAGCTCCTTAAATGTTGATTTTGGCATCAATTTTTTTCATATGACACCAAAAACACAAGCAAAAAAGGCAAAATAAATAAGTAGCACTACATCAAATAAAAAAGCTTCACAGCAATGGTAATAAACAACAAAATTAAAAGGCAACCTACATAATGGGAAAAATATCTGCAAATTATCTACCTGATAAGGAATCAATATCCAAAAACATATAAGGAACTCATATAACTCAATAGAAAATAATCTAATTTAAAAAAATGGGCAGAGGATCTAAAAGACATTTTTTTCAAAGAAGACACACAAATGGCCAATCAGTACATGAGAAGATGCTCAAGATCACTAATCACGAGGTAAATGTACATCAAAAGCTCAATGAGATGACACCTCAAACCTATTAAAATGACTATCATTAAAATGATAAGAAATAACACGTGTTTGTAAGGATGCAGCAAAGAGGAAACTCTTATGCACTGTTGATGAGATTGTAAATTGGTGAAGTCACTATGAAAAACAGTATGGAGCACCCTCAAAAAATTAAAACTAGAACTACCATATTATCCAGAAGTACCACTTCTGGGTATATATCCAAAGGAAATGAAATCAGGATCTCAAATATCTACACTCTACGTTCATTACAGCATTATTCACTACAGACAAGATTATGAAATAACCTAAGTGTTCATCTATAGATGAATGAATAAAGAAGGTGTGACATATAGACATAAAATGAAATATTATTTAAGCCATGGAAAAGAAGGAAATCCTGACATTTGCAACAACGTGAATGGACTTTGAGGATGTTATGCTAAGTGAATAAGTTAGTCAGAAAAACAAACACTGTATGATCTCATTTATATGTATAATCAAAAAGGTGAACTCATAGAAACCATAGTAGAATGGTGGTTGCCATTCTACTGGAGATCGGGAGAAATGGGGCAGTGTGTGTCAAAGCGTACAAAGTTCCAGTTACAGAATTAGTAAGTTTTGGGAGATCCAATGTATAGCATAGTAACTATAGTTAACAATATTGTATCATACACTTGAAAGTTGCTAAGAGACTAGAACTTAAATATTCTCACCACACAAAAACAAAATGGTAATTATGTGAGGTAATGGAGGTTTGAACTATCCCTATTGTGGTAATTATTTTGCAATAGATCATATGTCAATTAAATTTCAATGAACTAGAAAAAATAAAATATTTGCATCATACTCATGAAAGAGTTTAGTTTGTAGTTTTCTACAGAGACTAGTATGGAAACTCATTGTATACTCCACAAAAAGCAGATGGAATAATTTAAATAGCATTAGGATTACTTAATCTTTAAAGGTTTGGTAATATTTCTATGTGAAGCCATTTGGCCTACTATGGTTTTGTGTAGGGTACTTTTAAATAATATTTTCTATATTACTCTTATGATGATTGGTCTATTTAGAATTTCTGCCTCTACTGTATCAATTTTGGAAAATTTTATAATGAATTTCTGTTTACTTCTATGTTTTTTAATGATTTGCTTTAAGAATTTTCATGCTACGTTATTTGGTGCATCAATGCTAAAAACTGGATTTTTTGTTATAATTTGCACTACTTTAGTTAACCATAAAATGCTCTTAATTGTATAAGAAAAAAATAAGTGTTGGTGAGGATGTAAAATAGTGCCACCACTATGAGAGACACAAAGGAGGTCTCTCCAATAAATTAAAAGTAACTCTACCATATTATTGAGCAATCCCACTTCCGGATATAGTTCCAAAAGAATTGAAATCAGAATCTCAAAAAGATATCTGCTCTCCCAAGTTTATTACTCACAATAACGAAGATACAGAAACAACCTAAACGTCCACCGATGAATGAATAAAGAGAACATGGTATGTACATACGATGTAATATTATTTGGTCTTAAAAAAGAGAAGAAAATCCTGCTATATGTGATAACATGGATGAACCTGGTCGACTCAATGAAAAGTGAAATAAGCCAGACACAGAAGGACAAATACTACATGATACCCCAAATATGAAGTATCTGAAATAGTCAAACTTATAGAGAGTAGCATATTGGTTCCAGGGGCTGGGAGAAGGAAGAAGTGGGAAGTTGCTGTTCAACGAGTATAAAGTTTAAGTAATGCAAGATGAGTAAGTTCTAGAGATCTGCTATATAACATTGTGTCTATAGTTAACATTTCTGTTTTGTGAACTTAAAATATTAAGAGGATAGATTTCATGTTGTGTTCTTACAATTAAAAAAAGAAAAGAAAGTACATGCAAATTCTGATGAAAACCATTAGAACTTTATACGTATAGTTTTATAATCAAATTGAAGGAATACATCAAAATATTTTTTAAAATAATAAGCTGAATATTCTCTTTTGACAAAGTTCATTTAATTTTTATAATCAGAAAAGTAATATTTAAAAATTAATATAAACTTGTTCTTAACTTTTCTGAATAGCATGTGATGTTATATTTACCTGTGTATTCAAGGTGAAAACCTGCAGCAGAAACACTGATGTCTGATTGAAAATTTAGATATAAATTGTTAGATGTACTATTCAAAAGATGGGGTATTGTTGTTCCTGAAATAACAATTGAAAAAGTAGATTAATGATCACATAATAAACACTATAGTAAATCTAAGTAAGTTAACTACTAATCATGCAATAGGTTATCACTGAAATTATGTATTAGTCAAGTGTTTTCCAAGAATTTTTTAGTAAAAATATTTCTCCCACATTTCTCTTTCATTTTATTGCACCCGGCTATCTCCAGGGAGACAGATCTTGGGGATCATTTTAGATTACTCCCTAAATATAGGTAAGAACAAAAAGAGCTGGTGAAAGTCAAAAGGGTAAATGTTATAAAGGTCTCCTAAAATAAATGTTTAGAATTTCATATGGACTTCAATATTCTATGCACAAACTAATAGTACACTTAATTTTGAAGTTTGCATGTGATTTTTATGGTATACTAACTTAAGATTTTTGTAAGGGTTCAGAGGATATATTCGTTTATTACCCTTTATTATAATATATATATCCTTTTATACCAAGCAAAGCTGGTAGTTAGCATTCCAAAAAAATCCAACTTATGAGGTAATGTTAGCCTTGTCTCTCAGCAAATGCATTATAACGATGTTCTTCTGAACTTCTAAAGGACATCAACTTTAGTTTAATTATTGAGTTGAAAACATTTTTATTTTGATAGGTAACTAGTTACTTTACACTTACTTTGCACAATTCTGTGATTCTTCTATAAAAGAAACCAGTACAAGTTGATTACAGAACACAATTGCTTTTTCCCCCCCATGAACTTGCTCTCTGTCCATAGTGCCCCAACTGAATCCCTGAAGACAGAGATAAACAGAAACTCAAAGGTCACTAGAACTGCCTTTAGTCACTTAAGTGGATCTGATTCCTCTGGCTCTGGAGTCAAATCAGCTGGGCGTGACTAGCCTCATTCTAACATTAGCTGTACAACCTTGAGCAACTTAATCTCTCTAAGCTTCAATCACCTACTGGACTGCTAGAAAGATCAAATGAGGAAATGTATGACAAGCTTCATATACAGTTAGCATTTGGTAATCGCTAGCATGTAATTTATCACTTTTATTATCTTCATTTTTAAGAATATATTATACCTGCTCCATTATAAACAAATATATATTCAAAATTTTATTAATTTTTTAAGGAAAGATTTATGTCTAAATCTATATTGAAAATATTTTTATGCCAAATCGCTCCTACTCTAGATTTTTCTTCTTTCCTTTCCTCAATGATGATACTGAAAAATCAGTTACCATACTCCCTTTAAAAAATCTATTAAAAATTTAAAACCATTCAAACTTATTTCAATATCTGAAATGTGTAAGTTAATATTTTAACTATGTTCATGTTTCTAGATTTAAAAATTATACTTTAAATTAATGTAAAAAGTATAGTTAAAATTAAAAACTTCATTTCACCTTTTATATGCTAAAAGAAGCTGTTGGATTACTGCATAAATTTCCTTTAAAAATCTTAATAAAGTTAAAAACCTATTCTTGATATGTATGTATATATTAATTTCATATAATTTTATTCATTTCATAGAAATAATTGTATATTTTCTTTATTCTCACTCAACAGTACACTGTAGCATTTACCATGTTGATACACAGTCTATAATTATTTTAATGGCTGTATAACATTCTATTAACTGGATAAACCATAATTACTAGGTACTCTCTATTTTTTAACTGTATTATTCAATATTTTTTTAAGAGAAAGTGGCACATCCCACATACTATTGCTGAAGCACAGCTGGAAATATAACCATTAACATAAAAGTATCAATAATTACACAAATACAATAAGAATATAGCAAGGTTTTAAACAGCAATGTCGACTTCATTACCTTTAAAGCCTTTCAAACTTCCAACTTTGTAATTTAGTTCATTGCATATAGTTTATAAAAAGCGAATTAAAATCACCAAGTCAGAGTTCAAGGGAACATTTTTTAAAAAGAGGGAGAGATTTTAAAATTACTAAGAATAATCATATTTTAATTAAGCTCAGCTCCTATTTACCTGAATAACTTCCAAGTCGTGGAGCATTGTTGTCTCCTCCATCATAAAAGTCTAGAGAATCCCAATTATGTTCAGTAGCAAAGCTGACAACTTGCACCTGTGAAATAATAATTACTGTTAAGAACACACATTTCTAACAAAATAAATATTCTATAGTCCATTCATACCCCCCTAGAAGAGAGAGTTCAAAGCCTGGACCACATGGTGGTAGCCCTTCATAGAAGGATTTTCATAGAACTGATCATATGACACTGGCCTGTATGAGCTGACTGCCATAAGAAAAGCCTATGCGGCATCTAGCAATGTTCACAATGGATATAACAGAGTTTTCTGTCATCATCTCAGAGCATTCTCTTTATTAAACACTTTCAGTTAATCTAATGTCTCAGTGCTAGGATCTCAATGCATGTGCTAAATAATTGGTTAACATTTGTGTCTTGGAGTGTTAGATTTTTGTCACCGATTAAGTTTACTTTAGGTATTAGGAAAAAACCAGATCAGTGGTCCACAAGCATATAGGACCTTATACTATAAATTTTTCTAAGATTGTCCTAGATACATTTTATTTTTTCTTTATTGGCATAACCTTTGTTCATTTTCCTATCTTTCTTTTATTAAAAAAAAAAAATTATCCCCTATATACATTTTTAATAAGTCTCAATATAGATGACCAAAAATTATACTTTGTAATTGATTTGAGTATATCTTTTAAAGAATATTTTTATGAACAGAGTCATAATAAAGAAATCACTGTGAAAGTCCATAAGGTTGATAAGGGAAATGCTGGAGTATAATACTCTCATGTCTTATATTTTATGTAAAGAAAGAGGTATGTATTACTTTGCTGCACTTCACTAGGCACAGCTTGAGCTTTGCGATAACCCACAGGACCCTCATAACTATGGATGTTATCTATTTTTTTCTTTGTTTATTACATATTTTATACTTTTGGAAGAGGGAAAGGAATAACTTTATTAAAATAAATTTATTTTGTTTAGTTAAAGCCTGTTGTAAATGTAAGCACTACACGGATTCACTAAATAATTATAACAATTGAATTCGTTAGAGATTTCTTATCCACAAAATAGTCCATCACCATTCTTCCATTCAAGTGAATGCTGGTGTCTCCTTTTCAGGAGTGAGTGCCACATGGAATCAGATACGCTGCCTGTGTGACAGGCATTATGCCCAATGGCATTGTTTCAGGACAGGAAAAAGACCATAATTAAAACTGTATGATTGTAATATAACCACTGCCTCCTTAAATAATGATCAATTCTCTCTTCGTATCCGAATTTTCTTTCCCTTCTGTTCAGGAAAAGAAAAGAGATAAGCTAAATGTATTGAGAGGTTTTCCAACAAAAGAAATTATTGAGTTAATAAAAATGCAGAGGAGGCAAGCCATGAGGTAAACTTACTGAACCATCAGTAATCCAATTTAGCCATAGTGGAGAGTATTTACATGAGAGAAAATATGCATGCAAAGTTAGAATAAGTAGAGAATAGTTAAAGAGAAGAGTTTAGGATTAAATACAAAAGATACTGGAGTTAGAATGCCTGGGTTTGCAACTTCCTGGCTCCCTCCACTCGAGGTTTTGCAAGACTGTCTAGGGTTATTAACATGTAACTTCAAAAGTTGTTAATCTATGCCTTAGATTATTTACATAAATCACTGTAATAAAGTTATCTGATTCATATATTTGCTGTAAAGTTAAATTAATTGTAGCTTAGGGTCATGCCCAGTGTGTATGAAGGATTAAATATATCTTAGCTAAGAGAGAGGGTGAGAGATAGACTATAAAGACTGAACAACGTCATAATTATGCAATTGAGGAGCATTAGACAGCATTAGACGGGGGTAAAAGGAACATAATCAGAACTGTGCTTTAAGTACAGTACTGCATTGGTGAAAAAAAGAAAAGTAAAATGACAATTTTAATAATATTGCAGTAGCCTGTGTAAGAAGCAATGAAAAGTAGATTGTAGGCAGAAATAGTCAAAAGTGGTACCCAGGTGTCACATGTGTTGCTATAGGGAAAGTTACTGGATTTTGTGTGGTTAGAATAGGAGAAGGAAGTGAAAAGGAAGATTTAAGAATACTTTATCTTTTTTCCCCCCTGAGTTATTGAGATCAGAGTTGTAGTGAGAACAAAAATGTAGATATCTCTTGAAAAACCTATTACCTTGGTGAGAAGAAGGAAATCCATTTAATTCTGAATACATATGTATAGCAGCCTGAATAATGGCTCCCAAAGATTCAAGTCCTAATTCCCAGAGCTTATAAATATTGCCTCTTATGGAAAAATGTTCTTTGGAATAATAAACACGTACAGGGTGTAGAAGATTCAAGTAAATGATTGAGGACCCACTATGACAAAAAAGTTAAATGATGGTCAAGTAAAAGATCTGAAAAGAAGCCGTAACTGATTCAGTGTTCAGAAGAACTTTGTGTTAGATGGAGTTGTCCATTGTGGCAAAAGGATAGTTTTATGAGGTAGCAGATTTCCGATCGTTAAAACCAGATTTCCCTCATAGAGACATTCAAATCCCATTTTACTTTGTTTGAAATTTATATTAACTCATGATGATCATTCTATACACTGACATGATTAAGTAACCAACATTTTTTCTATGGTTCACAACATAAGAATTACAGCTTGCTCGAATGTAGCCCCTTTAGAATTCTCCCTCTAATAAACTTTGCTATAATAAACAGACAAACAAATGAATACACTCCTATCCACAAACTTCTCACATACTTCTAATATATAAATTTGGTCTATTTTTTGAGGTATTTCCAAAGAATGATCAATCGTCTTACATTATCTATAACATTTTCAGCATTCCAAATGTTTCTCCTTTTCTTTCCACAAGTGGTTATCTCAGTTCATCTCATGTATGATTTGTTGGATATGTAAATAATCTGTTATTCACACACATATTCAGCCCAATGGAGTAAAGTAAAAGAAGCATCGCTTTAAACCTGGTGTACTAGCCAGGTAGGCTTTAAGTGATGCTAGTGAAATTTCAAATATGTTATATATTACATATGTGTATGTACCTGTTATATAATTTCCTACGACTTAGTGATACGTCTAAAATTAGCATACTTATTAGAGGTTAATTAGAAAAAAAGTACTTGGTAGTCCTTTAGAGTATTTAAAAGTAAAAGTCTAATATGCATCACACTCTAAATTTGATAAATGCTCTGCTAAACTCAAATTTTGTTTTTGTTTTCTAAAGTGTAATCATTAAACAAAATGCTTCCTCAGTGAGAGACTTTATAACATTTTTATGTGTCCAGTTTTGAATAGTGTTTGACTAAGACAAGTGATATACAGCATACTTTTTCTGCAGATGTCTTATTCACATTGTGCTGTGTTAGCTCCTTAAAATAGTCTAAAACTTCCTTGATTGTGGAGGTATTCATTGGCTCATTCTAAAAATATTAAGCATGTACTGCCAGGCACTATGCTATCTGCTAGCACAGACTTGATTACTACCCTCATGAACTTACAAATAAGTAAGTAATGACAGTAAAACATGATGAGTGTAATGATAAGGAAAATACAGGGATCTATGAGAACATATAGCATGGGGACTTAATCTTGTCTCAGATTCATGGAAGGTCTTCTACAGGAATTATTTCTAAGTTGAGACAGAAATAATGAATAAGAAGAAGCCAAATAAAGGGAGATCACAGAGCATGTTGCAGACAGAGGGCACAACATGCACAGGGGCCCAGCAGCAAGAGAGAGGTTTTTATAAAGAACTAAATTGGTGTGAATAGATGAGGTAAGAAATGAGGACAAAGCACAAGGGCATAATCAACTATGTCAAGGAGTTAGGGATATAGAGGACAACTGAGGTACCATAAGAAGAAAAGTTATAGTATTAGATTTTTATTTTTAGAAGGTCATTCGATTTGCCTTATGAGGAATAGATTAAAGGAGAATAAGAACCTGAGACAGGGACGATGGCCACCTAATCCTAAATGGTGAAAATCTGGATGGAGAGAAACAGACTTACTTGAGAGCTTTGTGAAAGACAAACCTGATATATTTCACAGAGCAGAATAGGAGACAGAAAAATCATCAAGATTTCTGGCTTGTGCAACTGAATGAGTGAAGGACTCATTCTGAAACAGAGCACATTAGAGAATATCCATGATTTTGAGGAAAAAAAAATCATAAAGTCAATTTTGAACAGGTTGAATTTGAGATGCCAGAAAGAAGTTTAGCTAAAATGTCCAGTGGGCAGTTGAATATATGGCATGCATATTAGGTGAAAGGTGTGGGTTAGATATTAAGTTTGGAAATCACCATTTATTTAGTACTTCATTTTCGAAAAAATGTTTTCTGATTGTCCATTAAGATTAGGTCCTGAGCATCAGTGTATAATGGTAGCCAGAGCCATGGAAGTAGACAAGGTGGCACTGAGAATGGTGTAAGGAGAGATGAACAAAGGCCATGGAATCTCATAAATACCATATATGATAACTTGAAGAGAAAGAGGAGACCAAGTTCCTAGATATAGAAGCAGGCACCACAGATATAGAAAACAAAACAAAAAAAAAGTCCAGGGGAGTGCTGGTAACATGGAAACTAAGGAGGAGAAAAGTATTTTAAGAATGAAGGGAGACTCAGCAGGATAGAACGGTACTGACAGAATGAACAGGATGAGCAACACCATGGATGTAATGACAGGTCCTTAGTGATCACTATGTGAGTGGTTCAGTTAGAGCACTGGATGCTGAAAGCCACATTGCAGGAATCAAAACAGAGGATGAGAAGTAGAGGGAAATGCTAGTTTTTTTTTATTATTTTAAGATGAGCTAGAAATGGATAAGCTGATTTTGATATATAAGATATTTTAGGTTAACTTTCATAAACATAATCAGATGATGTAGTAAATGTTTTATGAAGGTTCTAAAAGTATTGCGTTATTTCAGATTCTCTGTACAAACTGGAACACAGACAATTCTAAAATTCCTGTTAATTTTACTGATAATAAGATAGGATTGATTGAGTATTTCCAAATTTTATAAGCTGGCCATAAAATGGTAGTACAGTTAACCAGAATTTAAGCATAGTTCTATAGTGTTTTGACTTTTAATATCTTTATTAAAATACTCAAAAGGTATGTTTCATGTTTTCTCACTAGTTTACTGATCTATTTTACTCTTGACTACTTCAAGTAATTTTTTGGATTTTCTGAAAGATTATAAAGGTAAATTCAAAATTTGATTTTTTTTTTTTTACTGAAAATTATACTTCTATTTAATTTCCGTTTTAATGGATGATGTCTTGGCTACTTTTTCCATAACTGATATATATTGCAAGTTCCTAAGGAAAACCTTATGACTCAATTGGTGAAGTGATCAAGTTATTTTAATGAAATATAGACTATAAAATATTTTGTTAAGAATAATTACCTTCCCTGGAGTATGTACTTACTCAGCAGTAAAACATCATTGATTTATCCAGAAACACTCTCCTTGTAAAATGCAGTAACTAAGCAAATTGCTTCCCTCCCCAAAAAAGTGGCTGTAATTGAAATAATATGGTAGATACTGTTGATTGTCTATAGAATAACACTCCTCTTCCTTATTCTATATTGAATTAAATGAGAGCTGTGTACCTCAGAGGAAACTGAGCCCCTTGCCTGATCCAAGTACATAATACTAATTTGTTTGAGCCAAATCACAGGAAATCTTTTGCTATTGTCCAGTGCATGGTTTAGGAATGGATATGGTGGTGATTTTGATCAGTAGGACAGGAGGGAAAGTCTTCTGGATGGTTTCTTGAAAAGTTCTCTTAACCACTGCAAAGGTACGGAGACATTCCATCCTGGGTACCAGACACTGCTATGTAAAAGCTGATATTCCTAGAGCTTTCTGCAGTGATCTCGAGACCATGAGAAAGGAAATCCAAGAACTAAGCCGACATGCTAAGAATGGCAGAGCAGAGAGATGGAAAAAAACCGGGGTCAAGAATGATACAACTAAAACTTCAAAATAAATAACCCTCGAATCTTCTTACCCTAAGATTCCACGTTATGGGAAGAAACAGATTCTTCTTATTGCTTATGCCATCTTGAATTGTTTCTCTGATATTTGCAGGTAAAAAAATTAAAAATAAGTATCTTCTATTAAATCCAACCATGTCAATCAAAAGCACTGGCTACATCTTTAGAAATAACATGTATCCTGTCATCTCTGGAAAGATTAATTTCAAACATAACGGTGAAAAAAAGAAAAAAATTCAATATCCTTACTTGAATGCCAGCTCCCTCTGGCACTGTGATCTTCCATACACAATTCAGATTGTTGTCATAAGGCTCAGGGTATCCAGGAGACAAAATTGTCCCTTTACGCTTGGTTAAAGTTCCACCACAGGGCACTAAAAGTAAAGCAGTCCAAGGGAGGAAGTTAATTCTAATGCAAAAGATTAAATAAGACAGAAAATTAGGAATAACATTTTAGACAGATAGATTTGCAAATACCACCAAATCATACTATTTCTTAAAATTTATAAGAACAATGAAGATTAAGTCTTCCTATACCACAAAAACTAAAAAATTAGATGCATTATAAACTAACTTTCAAATTCCATATCTAAAAATCATACTATAATTAAATCAATAATAGTATGTATTATTTGTATTATATTACTAAAAAGTGCATGGACACATTCATGTCAAAAGCTGCTCATCTGGATACAGGTTTTTTAAAGAGTTATTTTATATTTGCTGCTTTCCCTTTCATGCATCCTGTGAGAAGTAACAGTATCCTTTGAGGAGTAATGATGATGATGATAACAATTATATTATGATCATAACATTTATATAGAACTCATTATTTGCCAGGTGCTTTGTAAGCATTTTACATATTTTAACTCATTAAAACCTTCCCACAACACAATGAGATGTGAATAAGTGTTCTTCCCATTTTACAGTTGAGGAAACTGAGTCATTAAAAGATTAAAAACTTGTCCGATATCACGTAGCTACTAAGAGATGGAGCTGGGATTTGATTCCTGGTAATTTAGTTCCCGAGTCCATACTCTTCAGTGCAAGGAAGATACTCTGTCTGGTTATTGTCAGTACAACTATTACATGAAAGAATAAGTACGCAGACTTGCTTTAAAGTCAATAAAGTTTTCCATTAAAGATACTAATTTTAAAGTAAAATTCTCATATCACTAGTGATATCAGCTTGGTTCTGGGCATGACCTAACTTATAATTTTAAATACAGTGTGATGTTGGACATGTTTCTTAAACTCTCTGAAACTTGTCTGTGAAATGATAATACAATTGTTTTCGAAGGGCTTTTGTGAAAAATATATAAGTAGAATAATGCACATAAAAACACTAACACATTACTTGGAAAACCGTAAGAAGCCAATAAGTGTATTTTCTTGTGCAACTATTCTTATTTTGGGTAACAATGACACTGTTATCCTTGGGAATTTGTCCTAGAGTGGTTATAATCGTGAGATATCAGAATATATCTTTTGTAACATATTTTTTAAAAGTTAATAATATAGTTTTGTGCCACTTCCAAAGCTAAATGCAAAAAGCTAATTACTCATAAGAGTGCTGGAAATGTTTTTAATATTGTGATAATATATTTTTTTAAAATTCATTTTGTTGTAATTTCTTATAAATCTACATTATTGGGTTATATTATATACAAATTTAGGCTAAACTGGTCATAAAGAATTCAGCTCCTTTAAAAAGAAAACCAACAGTTCTGCATGATTTGAGAACATGACAGGAGAGGAAAGAGAATTGTAAAATAAAGATTCACCCCAAAATTAGGAGGAAAAAAGTGACTGATGAAGTGCTGATGCCGAATTGAAAGAAAATACTCTACAAATGTTCCTCCTCTCCATCTTCACTGTCACTACCCTACCTCACTCACTTTTTTTTCCCTAGGTTACTACATTAATCACATCAACGGATCTCCCTATGGTTGGTATATTTTCCATGTAATATACAGTCTCCATATTACTGTTAAAATGACTTTTAAAATGAGAATTTGATGTTACTTTATTGCTTGAAAGTCCTTCAAAAATCTTACCATTGCCTTAATTCTACAAATAAATATAGTTAATAAGCTTAGCCTCCAAGTACATCTCCAGGCTTATACGTACCCATAATTTCGTAGTAGTTCACCATCCCAGTTCCCCCTTTTAGGCAGTTAGGTAGACATTAGGACAGGGGAATGCAGGCCAAACCCAGAGACCGCCCTTAAGACCTCCCAGAAACACCCAGTTTGCAGTTAAAAATATCCTTACATCCTAAAATACAATGACGTTAAAAAAAAACACAAAACAGCCACTGGTTTAGGCCAGCCACAAACGCCTGTGCAGTTAGTACATACATTGTCCTTGCTTGAACTTAGTTTCATTATACTATCATTATAATATCATGCATATACCTGGAAGTTCATGAATCTAATTATAACAGACTGAATTCTCGATAACTGCATGAGCAGCAGACAAAGGGTTATATAACAACCAAATATCAATCAAATGACCTCATGTGCCAATCATCTAGCACCACCCCTGTAACCACACATCAAGGGCCAATATAAGGTTTACTTCCCGAATTCTACGGGGCTATGGCCATCGCTGGCATAGTCTGTTTCTCTCTTCAAACATGCTTTAATAAATCCTACTTTTCCTAAATTTTGCTGATGTGTAATTCTTTATTGCATTGGAAGAAAGAACTGAAGTCCCTCAGTCCACCATGGCAACAGCAGATTTAGATTGCCCCCAAAGGTAACACCCAGACTAGTCTGGCCTACTAGACTAATGGAATCTCTCAACTCTGTGACTTGATAAGCTCTTCTCTCATCTAGCCTACCAGCCATGGACATTCCATGTTAATGTTACCTCTCTAAGGCTCCATGGACTTCCTTGTGTGTTAAGTTGCCCTATAGTTTCCAATAGCACCAAGTGGTTTCCTGTACAGCTCTATCATCGTAAGGTTTCCTTCCATGCTGCTACAGTGACAAACGATCCCCTCTTCCTCACTTTCCATTCTCTCCTCCATTCATTTCAATAGGCTTTTGTCTTCTCTACTCTATTGAAATGACTATGTCAAAGTCACTGGAATATTCTTGTTGTGATGTGATGTTCAATTCTTAACTTACAATTTACTTAATCTATGAGGAATTGTCCTTTACTGTTGATCACTTCAATCATGTTAAGCCTTTTCTTTGCTTGGCCATCAGAACAGCAGACTCTCCTGCTTTTTTCTATGCCCCTGGCTACAGTCTCAATATCTTACTGAGGTATCAATAAATATCTCAAAATTAGTATGTCCAAAACAATATTTCTGAATATTGTTATTATCTATTCACACTATTATCCATCTCAGTAAATACCACCACCATTCCTCCAGTCTTTAGGCAAAAAATATAGGACTCAATTTCTCTTATATTTAAGTTTACATTTACATCTATATTCATTCTATCAGTAAATTTTGTCAGCTCTATCTTCAAAATAAATCTCAAAGCTGACAAATTCTCATCACTAACCTTGACCTTCCTATCTAAATCACCATTACTTTTTCTCTCCACTATAGCAATAGGCTTCTAATCAATTTCAATGCTTCTATTTCACCCCTCCTTACAGTAGCTATTGAGATTTTTTAACTCAATGAATTCCCATACTACTTAGAAAAAGTTCAAAGTCCTCAAAGACTTTATGGCTCCACATGACTTAGCCTCTGCTCTGCCTTTCTGAAATCTATCACTCTTGTCATCGTTCACTCTGTTCCAGACACCTGGAATTCTCGCTGTACTTGAACATCAAGATTTCTCTCTCCCTCACAGTCTGTACAGTCGCTCACCTCCCAGACTTTTATATAATCCCTTCATTTGTTTCATTTGAGTATAAAACAGCAGCATGTCCTGGATCTCTTTTTCTAATGTCCAGACCCTCCTTTATTTTTCTCTATAGTACTTACCTTTATCTGAAAAAGGAGAATATGTTTAGTGATGTGTTCTATTTCTCTTCACTAAAATGTCAACTCCCTAAGGAAGGGATATTACCTTCTTCTACAAAGCTATGTTCCCAGTGCCTAGAATAGTGCCTGACACTTCGTAAGCACTCAATAAATGCTTGTTGAAGAAACTGTTGAATGACTGGTTATATATCTGTGTACATCTTATGGTTTCACAAGTTAACTCTTTACCAATCCTGCATCATTTCTTTCTCCCGTTTATTTTCCTAAACAAGGCATATTTGTTTAATTCCACTTTAATCATTTATTTTTAACCAACAAAATATACTATTTGGCATGTATTCCCAAACATGCATTACTACATACATAATATTTGACAAAGTTTCATTTCTCATGTATATTATTTAACCTAACATCCGTTTCCTATTTTAAAGAGGATATATTATAAATTTCCTTTCTGATCAGTATTATACTATATATTATACTATATAACATATGAATTAAAAGATCAGGCTTTAGAATCAAGCAGCCTGGGTTCAAATCCTAATTCTGCTTTTGTCTTATGCAATTTTAGAATTACTAAAAGTCTAATTCTGCTTTTACTACCTATTGATGAGAAATAATAATCTTATCTATCTTTTGGTGTTGGTGTCAATATTAAATGAGAAAATGCTTAACAGTGGGCTTCATACAAATGCTAATAATTGCTATTCATTATTATATTTAATGAATTTTTCATCAATGAATAGGTGGATGAATAAATGAAACAATGAATAAGAGTTCAGATCCTATATATAATTCATCTATTTCTTTCCCACTAAAAGGAAAGATGATATAGACAGGTGTTGCCATGGAGCCAATACAAATAAAGTAGTTCTTTATGAGTCTCTAAAAGACTTGGAAAAAAGAAACCCAGATAAGGGTGATGGAATAAATAGCTGATTAAAATCTTTTTGCCTAAGGCTAGTAAGTGGCAGGTTCAGGGACTTTTCAAAGGAGCCCTCCCACTAACACAAGTACTTATGCCTAAGGCTATATATTGTCAGAGCTATTAGTGGCTGCAGGGGGTTATTTGAATCACAGAGTCTCAGGGGGAGGAGAGCTTGGGATTTTATGATAAGGTCAGATTTGGAAAATTAAAACTCAGTCTTCAGCATATTTTTCAGTTTTACATTTGTTCCAAGTCCAACATTCTTATCAAAATATTACGGCATTTTATTGTAATTTACCTAAAAATGGCTTGATATAACAAATTTGTACAGAATTATTAAATTTTGATTACATAATAGTTATTGAAATTTGAGATTCCCTAAGATAGTATCTGACTATTTTAACTATAAGCACAACTTGCATATCATGTCTAATGGGGCTGCTTTCCAGTCAACCGTTTAATTTCAGTATGTCAGTTTATGTAAGATTACTGAA